AAACCAGTACAAACCTCATTGCAAGTGTAGAAAGGCCTTCTTTATAAGCACCCATTACCAATATATTGATATTGCATATTTTCAGTGGCCCTGATTGGTAGGACTGTTAGAAACTACAATGTACTTCATTAATTGTGAGTGAAGCCAGGCATACACTAGGTAACATGTTACCTAGTGTATGCCTGGCTTTAGGGTCATTTTTTATTTACCTAAATTTTTAATCTTTATAAAAATAAACTCTTAAGCTCTTATTCAAGGAAATACAGTACAATGATGCTTCAGAATATCTTTTGTCCATTAGATATCAATAATGCTAGTGAAGTACTTGATCTACTGGATGATCATGGATATTTTGGTCGTAATTATCGTGATCTTGGTCTTCATCTGGGACTGCTCCTTCATACACTTAATGCAATTGAGGCTGATAACAAAGAATATCCTGATAGGTGTCTAATACATTGCATTCAGGCATGGTTGAAACAAGAAAATAATGTGAAGAGTAAAGGTGGTCCAACTTGTGAAGCATTAGTACAAGCATTGAGGGAGATAGGAGAGAATGCTGTAGCTAATGGGATTGAAAGAGATTTACAAGGTAAGGGTTTTATTATTATTATCGTTCATATATATTTTATCCGTGAGTTTTGTCTGTATTAAAAAATAGCATGGAAATAGCAACCAACCGCCCACGTCCTTTACGTAAGGTGGTTGTGGTCATAGCAAACAAAATGCCAAATGGTGGCTTACACATTTTGAGCTTTTTCACAGTAAGAAAACATAGAGATACTACTATCTAAAGGTTTAATAAGAACTTAGCTTTGCATGCAAAGTGGTAAAAACGATTATAATAATACCGTATAGGGATTATATTTTACTGGTAATAAATTTCACTAATTTTGTGTTTTGATTAAATTTGCCAAATCAAATTTCACAAATTAATATTCATCCTTATACATTGCAATGTTACTCCTTTGGTAGCTATAGACAACCCAATTCTGATAAATCTGTCACTTCCTTTGGTATGATTCAATAAATTTACATTATTTTTACTTTCATTATTGCAGGAGATATTGTACCACCTACTGCTAATCCTATTAGTACTGAAGACACTCCAGCTGCTGACAGAATACCAGACACTCAACATCCACTCACAGAAAGTATGTATCATAATATTGAGGTGTGTTTGTCTTGAAATACTATAGTAGAAACTGTTGTATAAACTGTTCCCATGTACTCTCTCAGGCTTACTCTTACACACCCACAATAAGAATTGCACTTGTACAGTTTTCCTCGCAAACAAGCATAACAGTGTAAAAATATTCCTATAATTGTTTTCACCACCTTGCATGCATAACTGGGAACTTATTAAGACTTACATAGGTTCTCTCTACCTTATAATGCTTCTAAAGAAATCTTTAAACAGTATCTCCATGTTCTCATGCTTTTACAAAGCTCATAACTTTGTCCCGTGTGCATGTGTAAGCCACCATTTTGTTAACTGTGGCCACACCCAGTCACGTAAAGGAGCGTGGGCGGGTGGTTGCTAAGGCTTGTTATTTCTCCAATACAACATGTATAGAAGAAATGTAAGTGTGGACATACAAACAATTATATATACATCGCACGTGGGTGAAATCAATTATAGGAATGACCTGGGGGCTTTGTAAAAATGTATATTAAAATGTAGAATAATACCATGCATTAGCTTAGCTTACAAGTTGCAAAGTTTATTTGAATTCAACCTATATAAATGTACTATTGTTATCATAGTCACTCCCTCAGTAGCTACAGACAACCCACTTCTGATAATCCTGTCACTTTGGCTTAACTCAATAAATTTACATATTTTTTACTTTCATCATTGTAGGACCACCTATTACTGCTAATCCTATTAGTACTGAAGACACTCCAGCTGCTGAAAGAATACCAGACACTCAGAATCCACTTACACAAGGTATGTATCGTATGCCTAGAAATATTTGCAAGAACAATATTGTGTGAATTCTTACCTTTTTGAAATTGCAATCTAATATCATTATGTGTCTATAAAACACACCTCCTGTTAATCATGGAGGTTAAAAAGAAGCATGTGGATATGGTGTTAGCCAATTAGTATAAGCAGTACCTCTCCTTGTCCTTGTATTATAGCCGTGTATCTAGATTTAAAAAAATAGACTAATATGTGCGTGGCAAGATAATTTCAAGCATACTGGTACTTCTGATTGCTCCTTAAAGCACTGGAAACTGCTGAAATCATGATCAGGGGGCTAGATAACTTTGTTAAGAGGCTTGGTAGTGATGCAAGAGTCCAGGATTGGAGTAATTTTATTCTGAGCCCAGCCATGAGGGGGGTGCTCAAGCCCCCCTCAGCCCCCCTGGATACATCACTATGATGGACAATGATCTGTGATGTCATGGATAACAAAAATCTTAATTAATGTTTTGTTTGCTATGGTCACGCCCATTTACGCACATGGTGTGGTCAGGTTGGTTTTTTAAGGCACCTTGATTGTTATTTTAAACAAATACATATACCGTAATTTCTCTAAAAATTCTTCATGACTGTTTTGGGGTAGGTAATTTTGAGAACAAAGTTTTAGAAGTCAAACGGAAATAATTATGCCAAAATAATTATTTTTGACAAATTTAGAGGCAGCATGGTGGTGCGTGAGTGCGTCATGAAAGTCTGCCAAGTCGCTGCTTACCTGCCACTCTATTGCCAGTAGATGAATATAGAGAATCCTGACGAAATTAGAACATGTGGTAGGGATATTTTTTGTGACGAATATTTAGACTACTTTAGGTACTATTTCTCCCAAATAATTATTTATTTTCGAAATTAGAGTGCCGAATTTTTAGAGAAATTATGGTACTTCTGATAATATAGATTGCACGCCAATAAAAAAATGACTAGGGGCTTTGCCCCAGGATCGTAATAAGTTATTTATGTACCTAATAAGTTCATTTTTTGTTTTTATGTAGATGCTGTAAATGTCAATGAATGGTTAAAAGAAGGCAGAGTTGATCTAACCGTCAAACGTGTTCAAATGCTTGGCCTCCCTGGCTCCGGTAAAACGTGTTCCCAACACCTCTTACTCAATGAAGACCCACCTGAAGAAGATAACAGCACAGGAATAGCTTGTCGTGCTGTCAAAGCTATGAGAATATCAGCCCATGATGATCGTATGGAAAGAATTGATGCTAAAGCTCTTCTTTCTAGTCTAGCACATGATCTAAAGGAAGCCGCAGCAAAACAAAAGAAATCACCAGAAGACCATGGCACAGAATCAAAAGGGGAATCTTTAGAGACTAAAACAACAAAACCAGCAGAGTTAGTAGATGAATCAGCAGGGATAACAGAATCAACAGCTGCAACAGAATCAGCAGAGGCAACAGGTACAACAGAAACAGAAGATCCAGCAGACGATACTGAAGCAAATAAAATACGTAATGAAATTGTTGAGGCCATTCCAATTGCAAAAGGTAAATTTGATCGTCATTGGGTATACATTATTGATTCTGGTGGTCAGACAGCATTTCAAGAGCTATTGCCTTTGTTTACTAGAGCATCTTCTTTTAACATCATCACACTTGATCTTTCTAAAGATATCGATGAGAAGCTCAAGCAAGAATATCGAATCAATGGAAAATCATTTTCTTGTGATTTGGATGATTCGTCAGAGGTATTGTATACGACAAATATCGAGTTTTTAAAGGATGTTCTCTCTTCTGGAGCCATTTTACAGCCTTACCAACCACCAAAAGCAATTGGATCAGAAGAAAACACCAGCACTGGATCTACAACTTCTCCGCAGTATGCAGAATATTTTGTCCTGGGTACACACAAGGATAAAGCAAAGCAAGAAGTTATTAAAAAATATAACGATGAGCTGAAAAAATTAAAATCTGAGTCTGAAAAAGAAGGCTATCACATCATTCGTGATGGTAAAATATACGAAGTCAATACAATGATCAAATCCCCTGACAGAGAAGCTGAAGCCAAAGAACTTGGCAAAATAATATATTATAATACTTTTGATAAGAAATCTAAGGTATCCATTCCTGTTCGATGGTTTGCTTTTGAGCTGACTTTGCTAGAGAAAGCAAAGAGAAAAGGCCGCAGTTTCCTTCAGATAAATGATGTCTTACATGCTGGTAAAAGCCTTGAAATGAACCCTGATCAAACAAAGGAAGCTCTAGAATATCTTCACAGTGTTACCATTATTCTTTATTATCCTCAAGTTTCAGATGATGTATTTGTTGATCCTCATCCTATTCTTGATATTCTCTCATGTCTATTGGCTCTAGTTTTAACTGAAGATCATCATCCCTTTGTGAAGGAAGGAGTAAGACCCTTGCCATCTGAACTGAAGAATCTAAAGGATAATGGCATATTCACTGAAGCACTCCTGAAAAAGTTAAAAGATTACGAAAATTTTTCTAACCCTAATTTTTTTATCAACCTTTTGCTTCACCTTCACATCATTGTTAAGACTGGTGTAAATGATGAGTATTTCCTTCCTTCTGCATTGCCGCCTTATAATCCCAAAACCAGTTCACATCCAGAATCACATATTGACCCATTGCAAATAATCTGGTGCAGCCCTAATGGAACTAATAAAGATTCTCGTGTGATTTTGCCCGTTCCCCGTGGAATTTTCCCTTTAGCAATTGCCAATTTAATAAAGTCCCCCAAATTTTGTTTTTCTACTCCTAAATCTCCACATTATCTCAGATGTCGAGATGCTATGTCGTTTCGTGTTTGTTTCCTAGATGATCACATTGGCACCGTTCATATCATTAAGAAACACAAACATATTGAGATTTATTTTGAAGGTGATGCTTTGAAATACTGTTCACTAATTCGTAAAGCAGTAAAAGAAGCTATTACTAGCAGTTGTGAAGCTATTAATATAAAACCTGATGGTTATGAGTTTGCCTTCGCCTGCCCCTCCTCTAAAAATGGCTGCTACCGTATTGTCAGAAATGAAAATGAGAAGAAAGTTGAATGTACTTTATGCCCAACACCACCTATTATCAGTGGGGAAGAGAAGTATTGGAGCTGGTTTGACAAGAAGAGCTTAACTAAAGGTAATTTAATGTTTACCCATTCCTTTCCCTTCTTTCTTTTTTTCTCTTTTTTTATAATGAAATTTATAAAACAATGATTAATTGTTGTTTTTGTGTAGTGTTGATTGAGAAATATAAAAAGATGACAAAGGAGTTTCGTTCCTCATTGGATGCTATAAAAGAAGCTCTGGCCATAAAGTCTGTAGATGATGTTAAGGGGTGTCTAGTGGGTCTAATGAAAGCTGCAGATTGGGCAAGTGAAGTTGATACAGTGACAGATGAGATGTCTTTGGCACAATTACTTCAGCGATATTGTTTTCTTTCTAATTTATCTCTACTGAAGTACATAGCAGAGAAGCTTGACCTCAAGGAATCAAAGTCAAGGATTGACCAGCTAGCTGAAGAGAGAGATATCTTCTATAGCAAAGTACTTGCTGAAGAATTTACTGCTGCAGCAATTGAGGATCATGAAATCATAAAAGATCATCATGTGGAGGTAAGCTTCATTTAACATGTTACAGTATATGATTATTATTAATGTTAGATGACTGTTGTTGTGTCATGGAGTTCATCTGAGACAACCTTAGCAACATTTCAAGACTACATCACTAAAGAGTTTAAAGATCTCTCCATGTTCATAGCACTGAGAGCTGTACAACACAGCTGCCTGACATTTGTATGTACTGTGCCATACTGGTGTGTAGATCCTCTTCATGTAGCTCTTGGTGTAGGACTTGTGTTTGTTACTGGAGTTCTATGTATTACCCTTAAGAATAGGAGATATGTAAGTAATCTATTATAATATTGTACATGTATTCATCTCTGATTCTGAAATAATAGGGACGGCCACCTACTGACTCTGGAAGAGAAGCCAATACTCAACAGCAAGGTATTGTGTTAAGAACTTATGACTTTTATTTATTAACTACCATATGGCCGTATTTGATTTCATTTTTCATAATTTGATCAAA